TGACCCAAAAGCCATTTTCTCTGAATTATAGGAATGATTTTGCGCTGTAATTTGTGCACTTTTTTAAAACTTACGCCGCTCCCTAACTCCTCACATGGGCTGACTTGCTAAGGACAGACAAGGACCAACCAACACCCTCAAATCAAACTTCAGGCATACTTCCAAAGGGCCCTGGTGAATTATCTCCAAAGGACGCAATAGTCAGATACGAACCACCAACCACGGCTGAGACAGATTCTATGGAGGCCACAGAAAAATTCAATTTTGGTGAAGAAGGTTTTGATTCAATTAAAATTGAATAAAAAATCTTTAAATTTGCAGTTAAAAATAATGAAATTAACATTTTTGAAATAAAAAAATCCTTGTTGCACAGGATCACTTTTGATTCTGTAGCTGCACGCCAAATCATCCGGTTTTTAACCGAGCTGATGAGTACCGATCTTTTTAGGAACAGGCAGAAAATCAGATTTGGATCTATCACTGTCTCTTCTGAATTGTATAAATCTCGTAGCTACGTGAAATTGGCTACAGTAAAAGGGAGCTCCATACTCATTCCCACGGGTCAAACAAATTCGAGCCTAGTCGATTTTTTTGACAATATTTTCTAATTTTGTGGGTTACTTACTTTAGCACAGGAGGACCCGACGCCTAAAATTCACATCTATATCCAAAAGAATTTTTAATGCACAGATCACGACACTCGATATGACATTCACCAACCTGTTCTACCTGAAAATAGCACCAAGCATTTGCTGCTTCAAGCCTACTCGGATGCGTCAGACAACTTTAATCACACTCTGATGACTCATATTATTAAGATGACTTCCTCGGACACGCAACCGAAAGCGACAGACGACTACCCATTTCCAGTCGCGATGAGCCGATGACAAACGAGATTTCAGCTTCAACAGAGAGATTTGCTATAAATCGCAATTCGTCACTCTAGACACATGCTTGCCAACGAATAATCTAAATACGCAAATTAAAATCTACAGAAAAAGTCAGAAGAACAAACGACGTCATAATATGACGACTAGATCACAGTCCAAAAACTTCCCGTGGGCATAGCTTCTTATTGTCCTTTTTCTTTCAATTTCGTTTTTTTTTGTATTCCCTTTCTGCAAATTGCACTCTTTTCTTCATTCAATAAATATTTTTATTTCTGAACAAAAAAAACGATTAGGGATGTCAAAAAAACCCGACCTGTGTCCCGCCCTGGCCCGAGATATTTGGGGCAGGTCCGCCTCGCCCCGTCTTCCAAATGGGGTAGGTCCGGGTATGAGTATTGACCCGTGCCGCCCTGACCCGACCCGACCCGCTCAATACATAAGCATACATACTTTTTCTTAAATTATACTACAAATATACTTCAACATACATATGTGTGTATACAGTAAATCATAAATTCTTTGATCTAATAATATATTAATACATATATTAGAATGAGATGAACGACGGATTATCAATGACTTCTTTATATATAACATTTTAATACATATGTTCAATTATTAGTATAATTAAATAGATTAACTATTCAAGTCTGAGTAATTTTTCCTTAACTTTTTGAAATTTTTAGGGTATCATGAATTTGATTTAATATATTAATTTTTAATTATTATTTAGAGATAAACTTTATGTAGATTCAATTGGTAACAACTTTCCACAAATAAAAATACATACTAGCTAATTAGGTTACGGCGGGGCGGGGCGGGGCGAGGCGGACCTGCCCCGCATGGAGCGGGTCATGGGTCAACAAGTTTGGACTTGTGCAGGTCACGAGGCGGAGCGGACCCACCCCACTAAGTCACGGGGCGGGTCTGGGTCTTGCTGTACCCGCCTCGACCCGACCCATTGCCATGTCTATGAAAGATAGTTACAAAGTTTTTTGTGTGACATTTAAATAAGAGGTGTCAGTTTAATTATATGGATGGGGCAATCTTATAATTTAGTTACCGCCTGATATTTTGGTGGGTAATGTTTTGGATCGTCTTCTGTAGAATAAAGATGGACTGAGCCCGGTCGTGCCTGTGACCGGGCGAGCTTCGGGACTAAGGAATTTAGGCCAGTAATGACCCGTGCCTAAACATAACTGGGTCGGGCCCTCTGTCCCAGTAGTGTTTAAACAAAAAATAGCGCGTCTGGGCCTGTAGCCTGCCTCTTATAAGGATGTTTTCTTTTGGAAGTTTTCAGTCCAAAAGAAAACATCATAACTACCGCGCCTACCAGTCTGGGCCCAAGGTTGGGCCAAACATAAACAATGTTGGGCTGTGCATCGGTTGGCTCAGCCCGTCCAAGTCCATCCCTATGCGTGAACAAACCCATAGTGACTTAAACAACAATGTCAAGTTCATGCCATTTGTTCTCACTAGTAAACTCACCCGTGCGATGCACAGATTGAGAATTTTTCTTTCAAATTTATGTGTGCTTAGTAATTCAAATCACACTATCAATTGATGACAACATCTATCTTCATATAATACTGATATACATCAAAGTATTAAACGAAACACACTTATAATATTATGGTCAAAATGAGATTATTAAGCATTACTTAAAAGATCAAAAACATCTGAAAAATACGTCGAAACCATAACATTGTAAATATGCATTGAAATCACAATATTAAAGCATTACTTCTGAGTACTTCTTATTGGCCTCCATCCATGCTGTGAACATACTCTCCTTAATTGAACATGCCCAAACCTCGGAATCCAGAGGCTGATCATCGCGAAAGACAACACTTTGTTTTTCTGGCAAGTGGAAGCTCAAATGTTCAACTGCTGGGGTCTTATATTGAATTTCAAACCCAAATATGCGCCAAGCAGCCTCGCACCCAGAAATGTATCTACAATCACAGTACATCTGTATCTCATCGACTGATCGTGCATCGCACGGTTAACATTTGAAGTTGTTAATAGGAATGCTTAGGAATTAACACATTTTAGCTCGCACTAACTTATGTCAAAATCATTTCTTTTAGTAAAATCTTTTGCTAGTAATTCACCTTGCGATGCACAAATGATTTTGCCATTTTTTTTCATTTTCAAAGGTTTATATAAATTAATTGAAGGTAAATTATTTATAATGTCTAAGTAATAAGGTGACTATAAATTTACATGAATTGCATTTTTTAGACGAATTGTCTCCCTAAATAGGTAAAATAGGGAGTAAAATATGTGAAAATGTGTTATGTCATTCTTGAATTATACTTGAATCTAAATTTGTGAGAAAATGTTCAAATAGGTACTTCTACTATTTCTAATATCCAAGTATGGTCTGGTCTAGTTTGTTTAAATTTGGTTTGGTCTGAGACTGAAATAAGTGTAAGTATAAACATTACAAGCAATATGGTGACAATGCATTTATCACAAATGATCCTGTCCAGACGTCCGGACAGGAACCGCCGTCCGGCCGGCGGCGTTTGGCCGCCTTCCCGGTGGAATTTTTTGATGAAATTTTTATGGAATGTTCTCCATCAAGTCTAGTTTATCCACAAAAAAATTCAGCCAAAAACTCAATCGGGAAGGTCGTCAAATGATTTTTGCAAGTTAACTGGTCTGGAATATGTATTTTCCGGACCAGTTAACTTGCAAAAATCATTTGACGACCTTCCCGATTGATTTTTTGGCTGAATTTTTTTGTGGATAAACTAGACTTGATGGAGAACATTCCATAAAAATTTCATCAAAAAATTCCACCGGGAAGGCGGCCAAACGCCGCCGGCCGGACGGCGGTTCCTGTCCGGACGTCTGGACAGGATCAGGACTCATGCATTTATATGAATTGCATTTTTACACGAATTGCATGAGTAAATATGCAAATCAGGGGGGTGTGCAAATATGTGAAAGTGTGTTATGACATTATTAAAAAATACTCAAATATGAATTTGTGAGAAAATGTTAGTTGATTCCGTATATGAAAAGTAATGCTATCATTTAGGCACAATAACTTTCGAAACACAATCAATAGGTAGAATCTATAGTAGTTCTTAATCTATCTAAGAACTTATAAGCACCAATGATGGTTAGGGCATTTTAGGAATGATAAAAATGTTGGTGTAACACTTAAGCAAGATGTACTTGTACAATTTATTTTCATCATTGTACCATTCACCATTACCCATATGTATTCCCCTTACCACCGTTAAATCCTAACTCTTGGTTTCCAATTGACATTCTACGTACATAGTACCTAGTATATCTTAAATTCTTTAATAGCATTATTTTCATTTTATGTTTTCATTTATTTTTTGCATTTTTTCTACATTACTTTATATTATATGAGTATGAAAAAGATGATTTTTTGAGCGTGTTTGACATTTAGCGGTTAGCGGATTGTCCCAATAGCGAATTTAGTAAGCGGGTTTGATTAGCGGAATATGTTGGCTGGTTGCAACAAAATGTTTGGTAATTTAGTTGTTTGGTTTTAACAATTAGTAGAAAACGCTATATTTCAAAACACTAGCCCAAATTCTCCTTTTTGCCGTGTTTTCATTTTAGCGGTGCTGTCCAAAAAATGCTAGGGCCGAACAGACTATTTGCCAAACAATGTTTTCACTTATTGAAAACGTTAAATGAGGTCAAATCGGTATTTTTTTTGGCTGAAACGTCATTTTTCAAACACTCCCTTTATCTTCTCCTTTTGGAATGAAATGACTGATACCCAGCAAAAGTTTCACAAGGAGTGCGAAAATGATTACTTCGAAACTGCCCCTTCATTATTAAGTTCTTTTGACCGCAACATATTGGCTACATCTCTTTGTTGGAAGTTGTTTTCTCATCTTATTCTTTATTTTAGGGGATCATCTTATTCTTATTACTTATTACTTATTGCTATTTAATTTAATAAGATTAAATCAGACAAATTCATATTTAATATATCAGATGAAAATTTTCATATCAGATGACATCAGATAGATTTTTTTTTTAAAGCTTTATTAATAATGAAAGAAGTTACAAGAAAATAATAAAAATGCAAAATGAAAATAAAAGAAAAGACAAACTAATAGCTATAAAACCCAACCCAAAGAATAACGATAAAACCTCCCCAAAACGAAACATAGACCCTCAGTTAATTCTTCAATCAAATCTTCAAAGCTCCACTCGTGTTTGAGACCTAGTTCTCATAAGATGTGATCGTTGATTCTTCTTTTTGTATATTCCCTTTTGTGTGTTCAGATTTTGAGTAGGCAAACAATTTTCTCGTGTGACCAACAAAGCCTTTTCTCAAATAACATCATTAGTATCTGAATCCCAAAGATCTTCCTCCGTTGAGATAGGAACCCTCTTCTCATTTTCTGAGACGTGTCCAATAAATTCATCCCCCAAAGATGTAAAGTCTGGAATATCATAAAACCCCTCACAAGCAAGAGGGGTCGTAAGATCTGGAAAATCCCATCCAGAATGAGCATGTCTACTCCTAATATCGTCTCCCGACTCTAAAACACCTGTCTGATTCGTATCACCTTCATTTGTGGGTGTCAAAGTAAGATTACCTAAAGAAGATGCAAGGACCCTCTGAAATTCATGAAGTAGAAACTGAGAAAGAGAATTCACCCCATTTGTCAAAGCATCCTGAAAGAAATCTTTAAGATTTGCGAATTCATCAGACTCATGTTTCCGTTTTATGCTGTGCACATCATCAAATGAAACCATACCCAAAGACTGATCAAACGAATCAAGATGCTCAATATCGGCCTGGAGTAGTACACCAGAAATGGAAATCGTAGTTTCACATGAGTGCGCATAATCCTCATTAAAAGGTAGAAGATCTAAATCACTTTTAGAACCCGTTGTAATTAACAGAACTTCACTTGAATCTTCTTCGGTTGCCACTTTTCTGGAAGTGGTTGCATTCATCAACATAATAGCTCGTGTAATCCCTTTAAGGAAAAAATTGATCCCATGACCATTCCGCCCCTCAGGAATAAATAAAGAATCACCTCCCTTCTCAACTATTCGGATAAACCCCCCAAACAAATTAGCATCATACAAAACGATAAGGGATTTGTTGAGCTCAAATCTAGTACCAACCCTCCTATCAGAAAAAATCTTGAGTATAGACTCCTTTAGCCAATTAACTCCCGCAATATCAAAATTCAAAACAGATGTAATTCCACACTTAGTTTCAGAGATGCGAACCAAGCTACAATCCATAATTTTAATTTGAAAAAATTTACTCTCAATGGTGAAGTCAAATTCATCTTCTGCAGTTCCAAATTTCTGATGCCAGGGAGCTATCAAACCTGTTAGATGCCCCGATTCAGCTTTTCTCCCGCTTTGAAGAACACCATATCTCCCCTGTCCAAGGTTGGAAGACCTGCAGAACTGCTGCAATCGATCTGGACGTGACCTCCTTTGGTCTGATTTCCGGGATTGGCCTGGGTCTGGTCGCGAACTCCAATAGCGCGCTCCAACAGTTGCATCCCTGTAGCCTGCCCATCTTCTACCGGAGTAAGCCTTGTCGCCGAAGTCAGGCTGCCATGGTCGTCGGACCTTGTAAGTGCGCTCAAATCCACCGTGTTTCAGGATCCATCGCTCAGCGGGATGTCTGAAGTGATAAGTAAAGCCCCAGCTCCGGTGTCTCTTCCTTCGATCCTATGGAAATCCTCGAATCGGGGGTCTCCCTCGCGCCGCACAAGATGACATCCCCCTCATATTTTATTAGAATCTAGAAGAATATCAGATAGATTTAGACCATAAAGATAGATGGTTATTTTTACTATTATTTATTATTGTTGTTGTTATTGTTTGTATATTATCAACGATATAAACACATAAATTTTTGTTATTAATATTTGAAAAATAATAACATTATTAAACTAGATTATTAAGATTAAAAAATTCAATTTTATGTAAATTTATATCTCCTCCCTTCGAAACGAAACTACCGTTAACCGGTGGGCGTAGCTCAACTGGTAGCAAGGGAGTGCCACAAGTGTTAGGTACCGGGTTCGAATCCCGGCAACTGCGATGAGAGGCTACTATGCTAAAAATGCATAGGGCCTCTGCAAGTACCGGGGACGGAGCCCCACTCTCTATCTGTCAGATTGTGATTATAATCCAATTTACATCCTCCCATCGTGTCATCCGGTCGGTGTTGGGGGGCCCTCAGAGATGGGGTGTCATCCTTTTTTAAACTAATCCAACAAGATTTCCGCTCATATTACAAAAATGATTACTTCAAAAGCAGGTCTTTGCTTTTAATTTTTTATCTTGTGTGATGATAAAATCATGACTCATAGCGCGAGCGCTAACATACCATAAACAATTAACACATTATACAAAAGTAATGAGAAAATCAATTATGCAAAATTCAACATATAACTCTATTACACCACCAACCATTTCATTCATTATATCTATGAAAATATTATTGGGCACTCCCTCATCGCGCATAGCGCGAGCAAGAAACTAGTTCAAAAATAAGTACAACTCTAGGCGATGCTCGGTTGGTGAAATTTAAAGGGCGAAGTTTTACTCAAATTAGAAAAAAAACATACACAATAATCAAGTTTGATGTAAAATGAAATGTATTCAATACGATTTACGGAGTATCAATGATTGTGGAGTAGCACACAAATGTGTATAGTCTAATAAAATCGTAACACTCAATACAAATATAATTTGAAAACAAATTATATTCTATGCTTGACTTTATGGAAATCATATTTATACAGAAAATTCTTGGTTTCACATTTCATTCTCATGTCATCGTTTGTGTGCAATGTCATTTTTTACGTTTAGCGGTTGTTTACTCTTGTCAAAACCATGTAACGATGACCATGACTAAAAATAGTTTTTTCAACAACGAATTGAACCAACACGCGGCAACAAAACATGCATAAAACACACGTGTGATACACAATGGGTGAGTATTTCAAATATGTATAAGGGGATGTTTGAGACTGATTCTGCTTCTTTTTAAAGCATAAACATAGTCAGAATCAATTTTCAGAAGCTAGTCTCCCCAGCTTCTAAAAAATCTATTATAATTATTATAATATAATAGCAAATTGATTTTGCTACAGTGTTCCCGCCAATATGCATGAAGTCCATCCTGCTTAACATACGGAGAAATGCACTTGATTGTTCTGACAATTAATGCTGCCTGTATTTTTGCCTCTGTGCAGCCTTAAGTGACCACCTGTTTTATTATTTGTCCGTTAAAATTCTAAGTAAACGTTTGATTTCCCCATACTCACGCCGGTGCAAGTAGTGTGCAACTGTTGGTATTCCTTTACGAATTCAAGACATTGAAGGTATTTTTGAAAAGCTGTCCTTGGAAATATGTTGAATTTATTAAATTGACAGGCTCAATGTTTCTCGACTCTTTACATCATAAGTAGTATAAATAGATATCTCAATGTTTCTCAACTGCATTCTTCCCTTTGTTGTTCGCTCTTTGCAATTGACTTTAGAGATAGTGGTGCTTGCTGATTATTTTGATGTCTTCCTTATTCACTCAAATCCTAAAGAGAGATGGTAGGGCTGTGGAGTATAAAAGACATGAATCAAAGTCTTCAATCTTCATGGACGGAAAGAATCTGGGCTGTCTCAGTATATTTCAATACAAATGAGAAACCCCAACCAAGAATGGAGTGTACACTTTACGTGATGCAAAGGTTAACAAATATAAATTCAAAATAAAATTAGCTATTGTGATAACAAAAAAGTTCATCCAAAAGGTTGTTTCAGTGTTTCTAAAGAAGGGAAAAAGGGTTTAAGAAATGATTGATTTGTATGTTTCAAGGGTCAAGAGTACATGGGCATATTAAGAAACACCAAATGTCAAAATTCCAAACTCTATTCAAGCAAGGACATATCTACGCTATTTAGAATCACACAAAATGCATACAAGAGATAGTTTGAGTGTTTGCCATGAAGACCATGTCTTTGAAATTCAAAGACACGACTTCCTGTTAATTACTTCTGAATTTACATCTAAATTTACTTTGCTTCCATCTTTGATGACACACGAAATTATAGGTAAAAACGAAGGACGCAATTAAATGATTTCTATATTTTGTCCATTTGTTTTGTTTTGTTAATGATCACTTGAAAATATGTCCATGTAGATATTATATAGAAAGTTAAAGGAAATGCCTTGATTTAGCTTTTTCCCTTAAATTTGAGAGGATTAATAAATTTGGTTGCAAGGATTTATATTATTGCAAGGAGTGATAGATTTTTTCTGTTAATATACAAACATATACATTTGTGTATTCATAATCATTTTTTTAAAGTAATTCATAAGCATTTAAGTTTCAGGAAATATCTAAATGCTTAACCAGTGGCGGATCCAGAAATTTGTTTTATTGGGGGCGAAGTCATTAAGTAACGCTCGAGAAGAACAAAATTTAATACAGTACTCTCTCTGTCCCGCTAAGATTACTCCATCTTTCCTTTTCGGTCCGTTCCACTAAGATTGTTCACATACTAAATTTGATAAAATTTGTATTAAATTTGTCTTATTTTATTCTTACTTAATCAATTAAATAATCACATAACCTCTATTTTTATTAATAACAGTGACACCTTCTCATGTTCCAACGTTAGCGGGACGAAGGTAGTACTATTGTAGTATTACAATAGCAAAAACTTTGGCAAAATACATCACCATTTTATGCACTTAATTACATCTTTTGGAAGAGATCTGTTATAACTTCATTCATTATAACTTTAGTTTTTTCTCCTTATTTTATCTCTTTCATTATGTTATTTATGTCTGGAATAAAAGTGAATTTAGCCTTACATTTTAAGATATTAAGTCATGTATACATTAATACAATTTATTTAACAACTCTTTGTATACATGAGAATGAAATTCTATTTAACTATCTAATACGGAATACATAGTATAACATATTGTTTACATTTTGGATTTTTAGTAGATATAAAATATTAGACTTTAATAGATGTATAACTATTTCAGTAAATCATTAAATTAATTAAATCTAATAGATGTACAACAATAATCCTATAAAATTTAACAACTTTATAATAACACTTACATAAAAATTAATACTACATATGGCATTAAACCATCCATTCAGAGAGGACTGTACAAGTACAAATTATCCCACAATCAAAATCCAATATGGAATTGATTAAGATTTATAAATGAAGTGTCAAAGCATGCATATATGAGCCTATGAAGCTATCAGAACCGCCGAACAAGACCCATTTGTTGCTAGGTCTTCGTTATACGGCCTATGTTACGAAATTTGTTGATTCTAAAATCTAAAATTCAAATTTACCCAACTTTGGGGCTTTGGGCTGGGGCGGGTGACTGGGTTATAGGGGGCAGCCAATTTTTTTTTATTGGGGTCAAACACTTGAGCTTCTAATATTCACTAATAAATTATAGGGACTAGTGGAAGTTTATTGGGGGCAGCTGCCCCCCTTGTTGCTTGATAGATCCGCCCTTGTGCTCATGGGCGGAGCTAGGGGAGGGCCATCCTTGGCCCTGGCCCAGCCCAAATTTTAAAAATACTTGTATTTTTAGTGTAAAAAATTCTGTGTAAAAAAAAATTCAAAAATATTCTTTGTACCGGCCCAGTGCGGCCCAGTGCCCTAACTCCGCCCCTGCCTGTGCTTAACATGCATATTTCAAATAACGTTCTTATTTATGTTAAATACTCTTCACTAAACAGATAAATAATACTAAATTCGTCCCACTTAACAAAAGTAAGCATGATTTCAAATCACCCAAAATTTACAAAATTTAATATGAAAGAGTAAGGAGTATATCTTAAATTAAAGTAAAATTAGCAGAATGTAAGGAGTATATCAATAAATTTATAATAAATATACATGTATATATTTATTATAAAAATATATTTCCTAGATTTTCCTTATTTGTTATTTTAATTCAGTAGAAAAGAATGTTTTTCACAACTTCTTAATGTAAAAACTTTTTTAGGTTTTGGTGAAACTCCTTATTTTAAAGTAGGTATACATTTGAAAGTGCTCAGACCTTATAATTTTGATGGTGAGATCCTCTTGAGTATTGGTTTTCTTCAATGGGAAGCTCCTGCAATAGCAAGAAACGATTGATGTTAGGAAATCAAATACGCCGTAAGTGATTCCTTATACTCAGTACTAAAAGGTTGTGATATACTCATATACGGAGTAATTCATTTCTTATATATATTCATTTGTGTGTGCGTGTTAGTGTAAGTTTTAGTTGTGATTATAACTCTAACCTTCTGTGAGAACTTAGAAAACATTTAGGATGTATTTGCCTATTTACTTAATACAAGTTGTGAGCATATTGGTTTGGTTTAACCGAACCAAATCGAAATCATATGGAAAATTTAGCCGTGAATATAACTCTAACCTTCTTTTAGAACATTTAGGATGTATTTGCCTATTTACTTAATACAAGTTGTGAGCGTATTGGTTTGGTTTAACCGAACCAAACCGTACCAAATCAAAGCAAATTTTTTCAAAGTTATCATATCTTTAAAGTTCAAATCTTATAACATCGGTGAAAGTTCTTCCCTAAGATAATGATGTTACCCCATTAACCCATTTCATGATAAAAGTCTGCATGTTCAAATGTCAGAGAGCAAAATTAAATTCAATGCTTTTTATTCATCCTTAATTTATGCCAAAGTAATCTGACAACTTTTGAGTTATAATATTTCACTCTTACGGAAAAAAAATCAATATGGACAGTTTAAAGTA